ATAACGAGGAGTGCCCCGCCTCCGTCGTTCCTTCGGGAGATCACCTTCCAGGAATCGACCTCCATTCTGTTCTGGCGTCCCAGCATCATCAGAAGCTCCTCATTGCTTCTTTCTGCAATTCTAGGGCAGAAGACTGTGACATTGTATGCCGCAGAAATGTCTTCTCCTACCCTAGTGTCAAGGGGCACGCCCTTCCATGTCCTTAGCTGGGGCGTTACAGCCCTCAGACTTTTGAATAGTTACCTACTAAGTTTGTAATGTATAGGCGAAAAAATAAAATTATTAAAACATTAAACACCTCAAAAATAATAAATATTATTTTAACATATTGTGAATCTAAACCATCCTCAAACCCCCTGGAATACACACAAAAAATTTCATCAAAATCGGTCCAGGCGTTGTTGAGTTATGCGCTTGCCAACACATTTTGCGATTCATTTTTGTATAAAAGATGATTCAAGAACAGAGCTCGCAAATAACAGTCGACCGTTTCTCGTTGTCTGCTAATAACAGTATTCTCCTGACTCTTTACGAAAAGTCTCATAGAACGACCGATTTATGGGTTCGTAAATGGGTTCGGTTGCGCTCAGACCGAAACCGATTTTTTCTATTCGGTTTTGTTCTGGTTGCTCCAGGACCGTTTTGTCGTTTTCAGTGAAGCAAAAGGTCTTTTGCATATGTATTGGTATACAGTGCACGTATAGGCAAGCAAATCGTAAAACATCGGTTTTGCGGACGAAATATATTAATCGTCTTCGTGAATTGAACGTGTGTGTGTAAATGCGAAGACCGTTTGCATTGAGTTTTTCGGTCAATCGGTCTTTTGGTGACTCTCATTGTGCGAGCGTTTCTCGATCTGCTCCTTACGCACTGCTCATTGAAAGACCGAAATGCAAAGAGCTCAACGAAAAGTGCTCAACAGAAAACACAAATGATGACAGCAAGGGGCTCTTGCTCAGAGCGAGAGCGAGACAGTATGAACTTTTTCGGTTGTGCTCGCACCCAGAGCACTAGATGAAAAACGGTCAACTGTTATTTGCGAGCTCTGTTCAAGAATTAAAAAAAAAAAAAATTATGGAAATCGGTACACTGGTTTAGGAATTATAGACAAATTACTACATCTGATATCATGAACCTATTCAATTGAGCGGCAGTGTATATAGATTTTCTCGGTCCATATCGTTCTCGACCGATTAAGGCTCAATATGTGGACTTACTTGAATGGTCCCCATATTCACCTGACCTTAATATAATCGAAAACGTATGGGGGTTGCTATCGCGCAAGATATATGAAGGAGGCAGGTAATTTCATTACAAAACAACTTTAGTTGAAGCAATTAAAACAGCCTGGACAAGCATTTCACTGCAAATACTGCACAATTTGTATAGCTTGCTTCCCGATCGTATATTTGAAGTTATATCGGACAACGGAGGGTTAACTTTTTATTAAAATTATTAAAATGTACTTTAAAAATGTTCATAAGTATCAGCTTAGTTCAAAAAATATGAAAATTATCCTTAGTTACTTAAATACATAATTTTAATTGTTTTAGGTTGAACCTATTCAGGTGACCGAAAAAAAATCATGAATTTTGTTAACATTTCAGAAGAAAAAATAAACAAGGAATAAATAATATGTTTTTAAAAAACCTTCTTCAGCATTTTATTATAATATGATTCAAGAATTAAAGAAAAAAATTATGGAAATCGGTACACTGGTTTAGGGTTTATAGACAAATTACTACATCTGATATCATGAACCTATTCAGTTGAGCGGCAGTGTATATCGATTTTCTCGGTCCATATCGTTCTCGACCGATAGTGCATCTTCAAAGACTTGGATAATTATTTCAAGTTCGTACTCCTCAAAGCTGTAAAGAAAGTTACGGCGGATTTATTCCATACCTTTAGCTATCAGTTAACTGTTTGGTAACTGCAGCGATACGTTCCAATATTAGGGCAGATCAAAAAGATTGAACCGAGCACCTCAAGGCCCGTATTACATGGCGTTTGGGTGGAATTTTTTATCATCGGGAACTTCATACAAGTTACTGAGGACCCTAGGATCCTTGGAGGGCGAGTTTTTTTCTTGGGAAGACTCATTGGAGAGGTCAGAAGGTCTGCATCCGATGTTTTAAAAATGCAAAATGAAAAGAACGAGCGGCAATACAAACTGCGATATGCAGAGGTGGCCTATCAGGAAGGGCAGGAAGTATCCTTTAACAACTGCCGGCAAAGCAATTTCGCGTCTTGGTATAGTGCCAAATTGGGCCCAGCATATTTAAAAGCCAGAATATGCAAGAAATTGGGTAACTCCTGTAACGAATTGGAGAACTTGCAGTGCCGTATGTCAAAAACATTTGTGGACGATCCGACTTCGGGTGTCGAGCCCCAAGTTAGATCCTCGACTTCAACTTTGCATCTCGCAAAGATCATTCGACAAGTACCCGGAGTCAGGACCGCCGGTGGACATTGAGTGAGCGTCCGGTGGGCCGCTCAGGACAGAGCAAGGGACATAAGGTCGCAGTTGTAAAAGGCATACGTCTTTAGAACACGGCACCTATTCACCCTAGTCTGAGAACGGTGACGCTTCCCGATATATTCTCGACAATATTCTGTCAAGCAGCGATCGAATAAACAGTCTGAACTCTGAAATCGTAATCGGGTTAAATGTGGAGTAAAATAATTCCCCATTTCCTATACTTGAAGATTTCCTGCTATCTTGTATCGGGCCGAGTTGGTAGCAAATTTAGGAATGAACCCGAGCTTAACGACTTGCTTACTCTTAAAAGAGGGAATTTGAAATGCGTTATTATAACGGCGTTAATGGCGCAAGAATGGTTTGGGTTTCTGATGATCACCCGCAAGAAGAGAGTGAAGTGGTTCAGGAGGAGGGAGAATTTATTCTAATTGTATGAATGTTATATTTTTAGTATTAGCACCATTAACGCCAAATATATCCGCTACCATCGTGTTTACCATAAAATGTTCAAAATTTGACTCCCAAATGCATACTACACTTTTTTTTAAAGCGTAACTGACAAAAATTATCAGGCAGGCTCCGGTTTTCACTTTCACAAGATTCTCTCGTTTTCGTTTTTGAAAACGAGAATTGGTGCTCCCGTTTTCACTTTCACAAGACTTTTTCGTTTTCAAAAACGGGCAAGTTTTTTTTGTCGAAATGAAAAGTAAATGCCTTTTTCTACATTAAATCGGTTCTTAATTGCAAAAGGAAAAAAATAGTTGACTCCTTGGTCTATTGATGTTCATTTCACATCATCAGTAGGTCAATCTAATTCGTATTTATTTTTTAAATAATTATTTTCTGACCCCACCTTGATTTCATACATAAAATTTTTGCCGTCGGCAACAACAAATTTCGTTTTGCTAAAGGCTCGATAAATCTATTGCCAAAGTTATCGTTAATGCTGCCGTACTTGTAGTGGAACGAAACAACCACTTAAATTGAAAACGAAGAAAAAATATTTGTAAAGAATAGTTAAATAAGCTTCTTATAAATAGATATGATTAATTTCTTAAATGGTAAAAGTGCAGTAAAAAGTTGTTAAGAATAGTGGAATGAAAACTGCAAAAAGGTGGCAGCCCCTTATTATGGAAAACAGCTGATTTCTGATGGTGGCTTATTTGAAATTTTTGAAAATGTAAGTAAGACAACTTAATTTACCGATCGTCAGACATATTAAAAACACATGTGTTGCATCTAAGATGTCTCGATTTTCTTAAATAAATCAATTTCTGCCTTCTTTTGGCTTCAAAACAGGCAATTGAAAATATAAAAGTCATTTTTTCGCGTTGTTTACTTTTGACCAAAAAAAGTCAGCTGTTTAAACAATTCCGATAACGAAACGATGACAAAAAGTTTGTGAAAACCGGAGCACCAAAAACGAAAACGTACGTTTTCGCCCAAAAACGAAAACGAGAAAAAAAAGTGAAAACCGGAGCCTGCCTGTATATTTATTAAACACTTAATTTTGGTTAAAAAATTAACAAAAGATAACAAAAAACGATGATTAACATAAATTTAAAGTAATATAAAAGTAATAAAAAATAAATTTTTCAATATATATTAGAAATGGTTACTCTAGAAAATCAAAAACTGATGAAAAAGAAACGAGGTACTCGTCTTCTTTAACAGATTCTGAACGGATTCGCAGCTATTCGCAGCTGATTTTCACAGATAATACTAATTAAATATTGATTAATATTTTTAAAAAAATTTCATTATTGAGCAGTTTTGGGAACACAACTTTTACCTTTGCAGAATATTGATGTTTAGTTCTGCAAAACTTGTAAAATTGCGGTGGATAAACAATTATTTTCACAGTCACATATAGCATGCAAAATTAATAAAAAATTATAAAACCACAACCTACAAACCTTCAACTTTAATATTCATTTCACTTTCGGATATTAAACGATTGTTTTATATTTTTTTTAAATTATTAACTTAACGCTTTCAAAAGACATGCGCACGCTTTTGAGTTGATCGCTGGGTTTGCGCGCTCACTTTGCGCCCCAATTTCTCCGCAAATATGTGGAGCAAGAGAAAACTAATACTTGCTTTTAAAGCCTTGTTCTATTGATAAACAGATGCGCCAAACTTGAAATCAAAATTCCAAAATTGATTTTTTGATTTTTGGCTATGGGACCGACCACTGTGCGTTTTGTCGTCAATTATTAACCTCTTTGTTAACGTACTCTTCTGGCACTCACTATACTACGACCGGTGCCGGCGTTAGCCAACGCGAGGCCTTCGTGATTGAGAATAAGTTTCAGCTCAATGTTTCACCTCTAGTAACATTTGGGAAGAATTTTTGTAGTAATACTGCGATTTCTATAAATGATTATCAATTTAATAGTGCTGTTATTGTATTTCACAATCTATTCTCTATTAAATGGTCCAACATTAAACACCAAAGGAAGCAGGCGAAGCACCTACTGGTTACTTACCCGATAATATAAATCTAAAAAAAAATGAGTTAAACAATTGCATTGCATTTATTTATTTACAAGATATATTTATTACATCATGTTTTAAAAGTAAAATATTATCAGAAAGTTAATTAAAAGAAGGTAATGATTATGTTTGAAGTGTATCATCTAATTCTTCTTCTTTTATAATAGGCTGAGGCGCTACACGTTTTAAAACTTTTGTTACTACGTCGTTCAATGAGTCTCTGGCGCCAGACTCTAAAAGGTCTAAAACTTTTGAAAAAGTTGCGTCGTCAGATCTTAACCTTAAAATAGAAATTAATGCTAACTCGGAGTTTGATTTTACATATCCATTTTTTTCCTTAGTGCCATTCACTAACATCGGAACCAAATACTTCAAAACATCAAGATCAATTTGATCAGCCGTCAAACTTTTAGAAAGGTGGGTACAGCTTTTTGCGACCAGTTGTTTGACATCATTGCTAGAATGATTCATAGACCTTGCAAGTGGAATTATGACATTGAAAGGAAGTTCGTAATTATTAACAAGGTAGTGCTCCAAGAGATAAGTTGCGGCCCTTATGGCATTGCATGCAATTGGCACTTTGTCTGATAACATGTTGGTTAAAATAAAAGATGTAATTTTGTCATGCAGATTTGTGGTTAGTACTTCGTGGGGACATTCTTTCAAGGCAACAAATAGAATGACCGTGTGTCCATGCTTTAATGCTAAATCGTCTATGTTATCTGTAAGAATTAAATTATTAAATAAATCATCGACTTGACCAGCCGCCATGTACTTTAACATGGCTCCTACGCATCCGCCAACCGATTTTCGAGTGACATCTTCTGGGTGCGCGATTAAACCTAATAACGTAACATAAATTTGTTTTTTTATAGGTTCAGACATTTTATCTCCAGATCGGGTAACAATACTACGAAGAGCGTGAAGCATTGTTTCTCTAACAGAGGAATCATCTGCATTTTTTATTCCATTATGAATTTCATTAAATAATGGATCTGCTCTTGAGTGAATTGCAACTAATTCTGAAAGAGCTTTTCCGGCTTTCATCCTTACACTTCTGTTTTGATCATGCAGCGCTTTAAGAAATGTGGTCTGAAGTTGTGGTAAGAACTGTTTTAATAAAACACCAACTTTATGAAGCAAAATTGACAAAGTTTCCAATACAGCAGCCTTAACCGCTGAATTAAAACGGTCGCCCAAAATTCGTATTAATGGACCAGTTATGTGGACTACAGAAGGCTGCAAAGATTGTGCGCTAGTAAGAAAAATAACTTCACCAAGTCCTTGTGCTGCGTTTTCTTTCTCCTCTGGCAGCCCATTTAAAATAGCTTCTCGAAAAACGGGTAATAGAGGAGTTATTCCTTTTGGCAAACAAAATCCTGGAAGCTCCGGACTTTTCAACTCGCTTGCTGCAAACCTAACTGCTTGGCGGACATCAGAAACGTGAGAGATTTGCTGAGTGGCATTCAGGCCTTTAATTACAGCATTGAGAGCTTCCCATGATTTCTGCAAAATATCTTTATCGTTATCAACTAACAGTTTAAGTAGGCATCTTAAAAGCTGAGGTATGTATTGTGAATAATTTCCTGGTGAATGAATACAAAATGCAGAAAGCAGACTTGCTGAGGACTTTCGAGTGCATAGGTCAGAGGAATTTGCTGAAATAAGTAAAGTATCCATTATCGTTCTAACTCCAGTTTCATCTGTTACTGACAATATAACAGTTTGGCAATATTCAATCTCCTGCAGTTCATTCGGAGATCCATGAGCGTCTGATAAAGCCTCCAATAACGCAGCTAATATTTTTGGCAAATATTTTGTTAAAGCTTCACCAGCAACAGAAACGAGAATAGACAATGCTTTTGTATTTACTGGTGGAGAAGTTAATTGGGGCACAAGATACGGCAGCACCACTCTCGATTTAATAGACATTACTTGTCTAAGTCCGTCCAATGTATTTTCAGCGATAGATGGGTCCGGGTCTGACAGACCTTCAAGCATAAAAGGAAGAATATCATCCAAAGCTCGAGAGCCTACTGTGCTATGCAAAGACTCAAAAGTTTTTGCTGCTGCTTCTCGAACTTCAGGCAAGGGATCGCACAATGCCTTGCGGACTGTGGGAACTAGACTATGTACAAACGTTAGAACCATTTCTTTTGATGTTGACGCCATTATTTCAGATAAGCCTATGCAGACTCCTTGACGTTGATCGGGATGATCAGAGTTTAATCCATTTTCCAGGATAGGAATAATTTCTGGTAAGACTCTTTCCCCTAGTTTTCTTACCAAATCTCCTAAAGTTCGGGCAGCCACTTGTCTTTTATCATAACTAGTGCTTGCTAAACATCCTAGAAGTAAACCAAATAATGTCGGAAGGATTTCGCGTAAAGTCCTGGGAGTATTTGTCACAACGACCTTCCATACATGCAATGCTGCCTGACGAACCATTAAGGATACATCGCTTCGTCCCATGTAAAGTCCGGATAAAACTCTGTTTCGACGTTCATCGCCTAAAAAGCGAATAATGGCTGCATGTGAATGTTCGGTACCAAAATTATCGTCTTCACTAGCTGTTTCCGTAGTCATCTTCCCAGAAACTCCAGATATACGATATAACAAATCTCCTAGTAATTGAACTGAACTATATCTTATCCTCCAATTATCATCAAACAGTCCTTTTTCAAGCTCGGGAAGTAAGAGTGCCACAGCAGTTTCTGCATATAAATTAACAATTCGCTGACCTGCCTTTAAGGCAGTATCACGAACATATTCGCTTTCATCTGCTAAAGCTTTTAAAATCGGATTAATAATTTGGCCGATGTATGGTGTAAATTCTTCTGGAAATGCTCCAGGCATGTATATAAACATCATTATGTATCCATCCTTTACGTGTGGTGCAATATCAACTCTTTCAGCAGTTAAAATAATTTCAGGCATAAGTTTATGCATTTTTTCGACACCAAGTCCACCTACTACCTCGGAGAGTCCTTGTGCTGCTCCACTGCGATCCACACTGCTTGACTCAGAAGTTAAAGTTTCCATTAACCATGGTAACAAATTTTCAAATGAACTTTCACCCATACCCTTCACCATTGCACCGAGCGCTCGAGCTGATACAGCACGCACTTCAGGAACTGGATCTAATAAAGATGATTTAAGGCCAGGAATTATGCTTGGTAAATATGGCGCTAAATCCTTCTGGTCTGTTAATGAATACATATTACCTATTATTTGTGCCGCCATTTTTCTAGTTTCTGTTGATCGGTCCATAAAGGCACGTTGGACTACTGGCATTATTAAGGCCAATGAAGGGGCATCAATAAAATGAACAAACTTTGTTCTAAGTAGGCTTTGAAGACAATTTGAAGTATTGTTTGAGGGATCTTCCAATGCAGCCAAAAGCACAGGCACTATTGCCTGAATTTCCGGATTTTTAATCACAGATCCTATTACTTTAAGAGCTTCTGCACCCGATTCTTGAACTTTAGTGTGAGAGTCTCCCAAAACTTCAATTAGTTTTGGAACTATACTAGGTAGGCAGGATGAAAGCTGTTTTGGTGCACAAAATGCCATTGCACCTAATAATTCAACAGATGCCGTTTTTGTTCTCCAAGAATCTTCATCAAGAGCTTCTAAAAGGGATGGAAGCACAAGTTTAACTCCATGTGCCGACAATTTACCCATGACTACTTTTGCTGTGTCATCGGCTGCCTGTCTGACATATTGAGAAGGATCACCAAAGCACTGTAACAAATGTGGCAGTACATGAACTATGTAGGGTTCAAATAGTCGACCAAGAGTTGTACATAAAACTTCAAATGCAAACAAAGCTCCTTCTCTGGATCTATAATTTTTTTTTTCTTGAATATATGTTGTCAGTTTTGACATTATGTCTAGTTGTTTCAAAGATAAAATACCAAGACCTTTGACTATTCCAGCGATACCATAAGCAGCTCCACGTCTTTCACCATATTTGTCTGACTTAGCCAGTGAATGTAAAAGCTTTTTTATCATTGCAGGGGCCTCATCTTTTACAGATGGCATAAGATGAGGTAAACAGTTTGATACAGCTTCCTGAACTTGTTGGGACGGAGTAGACAGTGCTGTTAATAGTCTTCTTACAATTGGATCAATTCGCTTGTCTTCTTTTTCTAAATGTCGTGCTAACGAACCCATTAAAATAACAACAGCTTGCCGAATGTTGTCATAACTTTGAGATTTTGGTGCTTTATCGAGAAAATCCTCAAACACAGGTAACAAATTAACTATGGTTTTATTACCGTGTAAATCGACTATTTTTAATGCAGCTGCTAACATTTCTTTGTGTACGATATCCTCTCGATCTCCAAGTCCTTGTGATACCATAAAATTCATGATAACATTAATATCTTCAATAGATAATAAAGGGGCAATAGTGGAGAAAGCAATAGCCACACCCCTTCGTGGTTTCCATTGATCGGTGGCCGGTTTAACTTCCCGGTCGAATTGATCCAACACAGCTGGTATTAGCGACAACTTTTCAGTGTAAATAGAAAACAATTTCTTTATTACACTCTTTATTAAGGTTTCATTATCAGCTATAAGAGGCATTAAAGATTCAGCAGCTGATTTTTGAATACATAGTTCGGGATGCATCACATCATAAATTATGTCGTCAAACACAGGGTAAGGTAGGTTTGCCTTATTCCAAATAAAGACAGCCAATTCTCTGTTTTTTTCTTCTACATCATATTTGGCTATCCAAAATCGTTTTACAATACTTTTTTCGAGGTAATTATCAATTTTTATATGATCTACAATTCCATTTACCATTAATTTTAACGATTGTAAAGAAACGTTTCTTACGGTATCAATATTGTGTTGTAAGGCTTCTAGAAATAGGGTTATAATTTTGTTGTCTGGGCTTGCACAAGAAACACCCCCACTTGAAGATTTTGCAACTTCTAAGATAGCATCAAAAATTTGTGCTTCCAGTATTGGTTTGTTTCTAAAAAGATGCAATAAAATTTCAAATATACCAAATCTGGGCATCAACTTTGGATTGCAATTAATTGTTGCGCTTGTATGCATTGCAATTATTTGTATGCCTTTCGAAATGAGTTCTTCATTTGGACCGTTATTTAACAATATTAACGCTCGCTTAAGAAACTCAAAAGCATAAGAAAATGATGGAGAGTCAAGTAAGTTTGAATTAACATAACTTTCAAGATCATTAATAATATTTTCTATAGCTTTGTCAATATTTATAGCATCAAATTCAATTTTTGAAATGTACGAAGGGTTCTGAAGCTTTATTGTCACAAGTCCAATGTCACGCCCAAGGTTTGGCTGAGAAATAAAGCACAGATGATGCAAAAATAAATAAAGGTCTGTAAGAACCTCTGCAGTTAGAGGGCTTCTTGAAGCTTGCAAAATATCGTCCAATAAATTGTAAAAATGTTCGGCAATTTTTTCTCCATTGCCGGAACATGATGCTTTCAGCAAGCTTATTTTACAAATCAGTGTTTGGTAAAGCGTGTGCATTCTTAATTTAACTTGTAGTTCCTTTTCCATTTGATTTTTTATCTGTTCTTCTTGTTTTTGAGTATACTTTATAGTTTTAATTTTTCCTTCCCTTTCCCTTTTTTCATCAATTTCACGACGAAGTTGAATCTCTTCTAATTGTTCCTTGTAGCTGTATACTTTGTTCTCTCTTTTAATACGAACTGTTTCATATTGAGAGTCTATATGCGGTATAACACTTTTATCAAACAACTCTCCTTCAGGAGTCAAATATGTTAAATATTCCTCATCAGAAGCATGATAATTGGAAGTGTCACAAAGGTAGTTTTTTAAATGTGCTACAACTAATGAAACTATAGGATTGGGACAAATTCGAACCAGTGCTGATATGGTGTTTTCGTATTGGGCACTTGCTTTAAAATTTTCAATGTATTCAATAACTATTTCATTTTTTTTACCTAATATTAAATGTTTTGGATCTAAATTGAAATTTTGCTGGATGGTCTTTTCCCAAAAATATGCATCATTAAACACGATTGCCGGATGATGTGAAATAAGCAATATATCCATAGCAACATCTACAGATTCTTCACATGTAATATCGCCTAAATTTGTCAAAGTTAATAATGCGTCTACATACGCTAGAGTAGGAGTTCCAAATTGATCAATACAAATGTCTCCCTCATGTTGAATGTTTACCAAATTAATACGTTTTCCAAATTCAAATAAAGCTAACTTTACGAATTCTATTCCTTTCGAAGCACTTAATATTTTTTTGACCTCTTTGGATGTATGCTTTCGAACTTTTACTGAACTACTACATAAGTTATAAACTAACGTTCGAACTAAAGGTTCTAGCTCCCCTTTAATTTTATCAGGATATAAAATAAGTAAAAATCTTGCCATCATCGATAAGTTGCATAGTGTCTCAGCCGATGCTATTGCCGTAAACTTTTCATTAAAGAAATAATTTTTGGTCATATCAAAAACTGAAGACCAAAAAAAGTTGTAGTCTTCTGACGGCTTTTCTAACGTAAGCATTATACAGGCAATGCAGGCTGCCTCGGATAAATTAGACAATTGTGATGAATTTTGCAATGCTTTTGTGTAAAACGAAACAAGATCAGGTAGAATAGCGATGTGGTTATTAGTTTTGGTATTTTGAATTGATAAAAGAAACCATTCAAGATAACTTTGCCGAATTATTTGGTTTGTGTTTTTCAACTGGATGCCAGATTTAAAAATAGTAATAATTACACTTGGTAACTCATTACTAAATTTTTGAGTCCACAAAGCAAACATGTCCAAGGTACAGCATATTACTTTCTCCTGGGTCTCGCATTCCAATGATTTCGAAAATAGGGCGACGGCTTGATCCAAAATGTTGGGCAAATCGTTTTGGCTTAAGTTGCTCAAGCTCAAATATCCAGCTCCCTGAAAAAGAAACACATAAGAATCACTGAATTTTTATATATAAAAAATTCTATAAATTTTTATATATAAAAAATTCTATATAGCAATCGTTTGATTTTTGGTAGTAAAAAAAAGTTAAATTCAAAACCGCTTTAATAACACAAATCTTTAGTAACTAGATTTTTTTCTATTGTTTTCTATTTTGAGTTTGAATTTTTAGTGCGAGTTTGCCATTATTTTCAAATCTTTTCAAATTGATAGACTAGTTTTAATAGAAACAGAGAGACGGTCGGACGTACATGGCTAGGTCGATTTAGATGGTGATGATGAAAAAGAATACATATACTGTATGGTGTCTACGCTGTCCTCAGTGCGTTGCAAACAACTGACTTAATATAATTATTATTGTAAATTAGTATTAGAGAATTACTCAATAAGCCCGTGACAACTTATACACATTAAAAAATTAATGATTTTTCCATGTCTCTGAGTTCAATCAGAACTTACCATGCAGCACAAAACAATTAAGGACCATAAAAATCCTTTACAGAAAAATAAAAAATAAGAAATGGCTTTTGCCTAGGGTCAACGTTTTGCAAACTTCTTATATATTATACTATACTCGTATACCGTGCAGCAATAGATCGCCTTGGAACTATTTTAATTCCTATATTACTCCTAATTTTCACACCACTATGGAGGTAGAGGTTTCTTTATAAACGACATGTTTGCTGACGGCATAACTTTCAAACAGGCAATGTTACTGATCATGAGAACCAAAAAGGAAGCTAGCTTCGGTAAGCCAAAGCTTATATACCCTTGCAGACATCAAATATGTCGAACAAAATACATAAAGGCTAAACAGCATCGATGCTATGACGATTTTTCTATTAATTTTCCATATTGTTCATATGACAGCTATATGATATAGTCGTCTGATTTTGATGAAATTTAATTTGTAACTCAAGACTCATTAGAAAACTCTATATTCCAAAAATCATGATTGTCTTTTTTTTATTTCCGTTATTTCATATAGATGTTTCGATCTTTCCTATGGCAGCTATATGATATAGTACTCCGAAAATTAAGCCCACAAGCAGCAAAAATAAACAAATGCATCAAAAGTTACGAAGAAAGTACCAAACAATGCACAACAAGAAATCGATTTTCTGTTCTGAGTGACCCAAAAGAAGATAATACCGTTCAAAAACCTCAAAAACCACCAGCAATTTTTGTATGTCAGGCAAATGTTCCGAATTGGTAAAAAAAAAAAAAAAAACTAACCAAATTGGAGAAAACCATTTTTATGTTATATCCTTAAAAAAGAGTAATATAAACGAAACAAAAATACAATACACCTTGGTAACGGAAAAATAAGTTACTATTAAAGAAATCGAACCATTCTGCTTAAAAATGTAGTCATTGTTGGGGAAACCCCACTGCAAATTACAGGAGTTGTCCTGTCTATAAAGAGTTGAAAAGTCGACTAGGCCAATACATAACTGCAGCTCGAAATCCTGGAACCCGAAACATTTCTCCATTTATACGACCACGATCCCGGGAGTCTTTTTTGCACAGTAACAACAACGAGACGAACGCCTCAGTATCTAAGCAGACAGGTTAGCAAACCACTGCTGATACAGTGCGGCAACAAACATTGAACCAGATTCCAGAAACTACTGATCAACATTCCAATGCAAACACACAATTGCCTAATGGCGTAGAAGCAATGCTGGCAACTATAGCCAACACAATGGTTGCAATACAGGGCCTGTAACTTTTGTAATATTTCAAATTTAGATCTGAAATTTTTTGAGAACATTTTTGGAACATATATCTATACGATAAGCCAAAAAAAAATCAATTTTTTTTTGCCACAAGGTGAGAACCTGCCTTAAGATCTAACCAAATATGTCCTACAAACCTGATATCGAAAACTTAATTAAACAATTTACGGAGCCAATGTACACTACTGTCTGAAGAAACACACGCCTAAATAGGCAGATTGAGTCGCCTACAGGAATTGCGCCTAATGGCAAGTCCACCGGTCTCCGGCTTCCGAAGAAAGACTTATATCAGCGTCCCATATATTAAGGGGTTATATACCTTTTTCACCAGAGAAATACAGGGTTTTTATTTATTTTTTTTTAGCATGTTACCATTGTTTTATTTAAATACAATATAAATTTTATCAACGTACGTGTCCTTAAGTAAATTCGTATAAAATTTCGACTGAAACTATTCATAATTGTGGAAGTTATAGTCCTTGCCGCAGAAGTCCTTTTTTCAGTAGTGGCTCACGGTGAGCATGAAAACAAGGAAACGGCTCAACAGAAAAAAAAAATAAAAAAACTACGTTAGTTTATAGTGTTACCTAGTTCGTGAACGAAGGATTTTACGAAAAAAAATTTTTTACAGTTACAGTGATTATTTTTTCAAAAAAACTGATTTTTTGAGGTCTAATAATTTAGTTTTTCGCCCCAAAAAAATAGAAAAATTTGTCGAAAATAAAATTCCTTCGTTCACGAACTAGCTATTGTATCTACAAACAATCCCCAAAAATTTCAAATCGATCGATGTAGTGGTTACCGAGATATCGTGCTCACCGCAATGACCTTTTCTCAAAAATGCGATTCCGAGATAATCGCGTTTAAAGTTTTAGCTGGACATTAGGTAGTCGTGTACACCGTGCGCTATGAACGGCTGTATCTTGGGTTCTAGTGCCCCGATCTCTAAAAAATTTTGCAGAAAAATTGTTGAAGGTATGTACATAAAAAAAAATCATAAAATTTTTTTCGATTTTTTGATTTTGAAAAAGGTATATAACCCCTTAAGGGGCACAACTAGTGTGACGGCCTAAAAAAAAGGTGATTTTTGGGAATTTTTATAAATAAAACTACTTGATCAAATAATTCAAAATGACAAATTCTCGTTAAACTAGATGATATTGTCTATACCATGAACTACGATAAAAAAAAAATAAAAAAAAATGGACAAAATGGAGGCGTTTTAAAAAAATATCGAATTTTACCCAAAATTTTGGTCGTTTTTGCCTGCCAAAATTCGATTCTTTATCGGATCAAAAAACCGGTAGTTCATGGTACAGAACTATATATAGAACATGTAAAAAAAATTTGATAGTGATCGGATCATTAGTTTTTGAGTAATCACTGCAGCAAATTCGGAAAATGCTGTTTCGAGAAAAACGCGTTTTAAGATAAAATGATCGTTTGCATTGTTCTGAAAGCGGGTGCTCTTTAAATTGTTAACTTAAAAACTATTTGGATATCGATTTTAAATTTTAATATGTTATTTTTAAAAGTGTAATCTACCGAAATATGAAAAAATTTTTTTTTGATTTTTTTAAAACTACACTAGTTGTGCCCCTTATCATAGACTTTTAAAAAACAAATAATCTAAGATCAACGTGCCTACATAGAAAAATTTCTCCCACCTGCAACAAATTTCCGCTCTGGGAGCTCTCCTTGACTTACAGCCACCAGTCGAAGCCGGTATGTCTTTAAGGGGGTCTTCCTATGTGATGAGTTGAAAAAATCGATTTTTTTTTTTTTCATAAATTGCTCCCTTAACATGTCTAGAATACGGTAGTAAAGCGATTTTAGAAAATTCGAAGTCGTTTTAAAGATACAGCAGGTAAAAAGAAAGAGCGGTTCGGAGCGCTGAGTTGGCAGTTAGAAACTTTAAACGCGTTTTTCTCAAAACTGTGTTTTTCAAACTTTCCTCCATTGTATCTCAGAAACGGCTGGACCGAATTACTTGAAATTTACAGGGCACACTCAATATATGTAAACGCATGGAATGAACTATTATCAATCGAAAATTTTCAAAACTTCGATTTTTTTATAAAAAAAAAAAAAAAAAAAAAACGCCAAATTTGCAACTTTTTTTTCAAATGTCTATCAAAAATCCAATTTTTTTATATTCATTTGATTGTAGTTCATTCCGTGCATTTAAGCCTACAAATTAAAACGCCGTTAAGTTTTTTTTTATCAGATCAGCCGATCAGCCGGAATCGTGGAGGAAGTGGGAGATCTTTTTTTCGAGGCGGGGGTGTTCAGAGCGCTGTAACTCTAGTTTGACCGAATATTTTTTGCTGAAATTTTTTATTTATACTGTCCAAATATGTGTTAATAAATGATAAAAAACTTGAAGCTCTAAATATTTACTGGTCGTAGAAAAAAATCCTAAAATAACCCTAAAAAACAGGCCGTCACATAGGAAGACCCCCTTAAGATCCCAAACAGGTGCATGGAGGCGCATCGACGAAGAAAAGTCAAAATCTTTGCCTCTCACCTACAAAACGTCTTTAAACCCCATACTCCAATAAATCAATTCACTATCCCGAACGTCACAACCCTAGAGCCCTCTTCCCCGACTTTCTTACACCATCAAAAAACAGCTGATCCCAAAAAAAAAAATCCTGGCTATGACTAATTTCGCCCAAGATGATAATTGAATTAACTCATTGTGCACTTATTTGCAATATGTACTTCCATATTTAATTCAATACTAAAATGGGGCTACTTCCCTCGCCAATGGAAAAAGTCAGTCATAAAGATGATTTCTAAGCCAATCAAATATAAATCTCAACCGTCTTCCTACAGACCCATCAGTCTACTGCCTTGTCTATCAAAGTTGGTTGAAACACTTCTACTATATACCTACGAACATTCCTTGATAGAAACAGTTTGATACCCTCGCACCAGTTTGGATTCAAAGAAAATCATAGAACTATAGAGCAAGTAAGCCGCATAACATCTGAAATTTTTACACTCAACCGAGACTTGTCCACCACTAACCCTAAATAATACATAAATTCCACAAGTGGACAAAGTCACCTACCTTGGTATCCACTTAGACAGGCGACTTACCTGGAGGAAATACATAGGAGCAAAGCATACCTGCTAAAACTTAGGGCCAGCAGTTTCCATTGGCAAATTAACTACCGCTCGCCTCTCCAACTACTACTTTATAACTCCTTTCCAAAACCAATCTGGACCTACGGCTCCAAACTTTGGGCCAACGCAAGTAGTAGCAACATAGTAATCATCCAACGTGCGCAATCGAAAATTCTCAGAATAATCACAGAGGCCCCTTGGTACATTCCCAATGTCAAAATCCATAAAACCCGTTAACGAAGAAACTGAGAGCAAAAAAAATTAACTACATAACAAGATCAATATCACACCCAAATCTACTAGCGAGACAGCTCAACAGGAAACGACCTTGCCCCTACTCCACCTTGGCCGTTGATATAATTAAATTAGTCTCTTAATCACGTAGAGAAGACCCAATAAATAAACAAATTGTTAATTATTAATAGTTTAAAAAAAAAATCAAAGCTAATTTTATCTTTGTTCTTTAAGCTATGACATCCAAGATAACATCAACTTAAGTTTACACAGTTCTTTTTTGCTTTTCCGTTATTTTTTCATTCAACATCTTCATAGCACACAGGTAACCCAACATAACTTTAACATACGAATTTACACCTTGTAGTTTGCCAAACTGACTGTATAAATTGTGTCTAAGCGACTTGACCGGTTTGACAAACTACGAACTGTGGGCTAAACTAGTAGGGTTCAATGGTTCTTATGTTTAAGTTATATTGGGATTACCCGTGTAATAGTGAAACAAAAGTTTTCCGATTATAATGAAAAAATTTCTTGATTCAATAACCTTTTGAAAGTCGAGATACTAAAAAAAAACCATGCTTGTGTGATAAAACAAAAAAAGATGTTTGTTTGATCAGCCCCTTTAAATTTTAACTTGTCTCTAACAACTTGTCAATACGTAGATTATGTGAAATGATGTCTGTCATATAAAGAACATTCCTACCAAAAATCTAGTTGAAAAATTTGCAAAAAAAAAAAAACACTTCAAGCCAAAGATAAACAGCTGGCAAAGAATGGATCTTGTTGACAATCTGTGCGTCCTCTTGGACACAAAACTTAAATTCATATTTCAAACAATTTAATACAGCCAAGGGGGGTGCTGGAATTTATTAAACACTAATCTTTTATTGTGATCTTATCCAAATATACTGCTTACAATTAACTGGACCTACTTAACTATGCGCAGAAAGATATTTGGTGCTGCCATTATTTATAATACTATACGCGGTGAAATAGACAGTCCTTAAGGGAGGAAATACAATTAGAAGGCCTAAAGTGAGACCTATCTTTGGGAATGGATTGCAAGTAGGGAATTAAATGAATCTTAGCGATTTTTTTTTTTGCATGTTATTAGGAAATTATTGAGCATTAAAAATCAGTCAAGTTTTTTGAAAAATATTGTAATTAAGCCCATTTATGATCAATAATGTGGAGTCGTGTTTTGAGGGATGAACTTTGCGCCGTGCAGTCTCCAGGTCCAGGATCACGACTTAAGGGGTTATATACCTTTTTTATTTTAAAAAAATCGAAAATTTTTTATAGCTTTATCTTAAAGAACAACTCCTTGAGAACATTTTCCCAAATTTTCATGGAGATTCGAGCAGTAGAAAAAAAAGTTAACCGCGCGCCTCGTCGCGGCCCGAAACTGAACTTAAAACTTTAAACGCGAATATCTCGAAATGGTGTTTCTTGAAAAATGACTTTGCGGTGATAAGGATTGCCGGAAAACTACTGAACCGATTTACTTCAAATTTTTTTTCAAAGGTTCGTAATGAAATTATCTTGTGCTTGAACGACCGACTTTTCACGCACAAACTTTTTTCGCCGAAATGAATTTTTTAGTAAAATTTCAAGTTCATTTTTAGCATAAAATGTTCCCGTATGCATACAAGAAAAAAAATCTTAAAACCGATCGTTCAAGCACAAGGAATTACACTAAACTAATGAAATTTTTTTACTTTTATGGTTTCTGTTGACCTGTTCGACCTGGGGAATTATCACCGCAAGGCTCCTTAGGAAAAAGGCCTCTAAGGGAAACAGCCACCCCTTAAAAACTATTTAATATTTTTCCACGAAATTTTGCACAAACATTGTTAATAAAGTGTACTATCAAAAAATTAAAACATCCGTGTAATTAAATAATTGCTACATACCTAAAAAAAATCCGAACTTTCCACTTTTTCTTCGACAAAGAAGGTATATAACCATCTAAACAAAAAACAGCAATTGGACATTAAACTTAAAGGTACAGCGCACACAGCGTTGCCAGTTTTTTTTTTTGCCAAGTCGGGACTTAGGAACTTTTTTAGTGAAAAAAGCGGGACTCTTACGTCGAAAGCGGGACATAATAAAAAACGTATATAATCAGAAGTTTTTAAAATATTTACTGCTTCACTGCACTAAAACAAACGGTAATCGTTATTCTTTCGTTGATAATCGTACGTTTTCGTGAAACAGAAAATTATAAGCAAATGATGAAAATAAGGAAAGAGCGAAGAGAAAGATAGGAAGTCGCAGTCGCACGCGCCTCTCTCACTCCTGAGCGCTTCATCAGCCCGCACGTTCGAATTATCATTAAAAAGCGGGACTGAACCTGTCCCGCGCGGGACATTTAATTTTAATTTAAAAATCGGGACGTCCCGCCAAAATCGGGACGTCTGGCAACGCTGAGCGCACAACATGAATTAATTTGAGGTTAAAAAAAATGTTTAAAAAAACACTTTTTTTCGACTTTGTTCGTAAAAAAACATGTTAGAACAAACAAATATGAAAAACCGGTATATTCATGTTGTGGAGAATTTAATTTCAAACATAATGCAAAAAAACCGCATTCGATTTAAAAAAAACCTCTGACCTATACATTGCACGGCGACTTTGAAAACACGACTTTTCAGTAGAAGCGTTTAAAGTTTACGTTGTGCCATTTCAGCCATTGACACGGACTCACTAAATTGCGTATTACTTTGAAAATAAGTACCGGACGGTTTTATGTATTTACAGGCTTATTCCCAGAAATATTTAGAGTACATTTGGCCAAAACAAAAATTTTCGAAAAAAAAAAATGTTCTAATTGTATTTTCCCCCTTAACTGACCAGCCTACATGCCTAAAAACTCTGGCTAGAAAGTTTTTAAGAAACGAAAACCACTATTATTTTCCTTTTGCAACATGATTCCATGTTTACACAACCAAAATGTTTTAAAACGGTAGTCCTTTCTTTATAGAAATATTTTTCTAATATGTATTAGTGTTACCAATTATGAGCATAACAAAAATTGCGAAGCTTTCATGATAATTCCATTAATTTTCTGGTATTTCTCCGATTATTCCTATGCGTTGAAAACTTTTAACTGAAATTATAATTTCCTACCCTTGCAATTGAATTTAAAATTTTAAGTTAATCTGTTTGCAAAACAAGAAATGCGCAACGTAACTAACGAGATGAAAGTTAAAAGGAATGTTAAAAGCTTACTTAAACGCTCCCTAAAATACAACAATTTAGGAAAGTAGATTACCTGTAATATATTAAGTCTATATTCAATCACATTTATTTTGCCATCGGATCCATTTAACACAGAGAAAATTTGTTCTAGTAGTTCCTTTACAGTAACCCAATCAGAGCATTTTGTGGATATAAGCTTTAGGGATTCAAGTGACTCTCGTCGTGCGATTTCTCCTTTACTGTATAAGTTTTTTATAAGAACATTTCCAACTTTTTGAGCATAACGACTGCAATCGAAATTCAACATATCAAAAATTAATCCAATGCTTTCAAGTGTGTTTTCGGGGCTTCTTAATATTGCCCTTTGCAACGGAGGGTAAATATAAGAATCAAACTCAGATTCGGTAAGTAACTTCAATAATGGCTTGCAGGCTATAATAAGCGATTTGTCAGGTTTGCATTTACTCGAAATCATACTTTTTACAAAATATTCCGATAGCTTTTCTGTATGTTTTTTTGATATCACTTGTGTATTTTTTTTGATTCAAATTCAATCATGGCCATAAACATAATGGTGACGTTGGTAGTAGCTTCCATTTGAAATAACATGTCCAAAGTTTCTATAAAAATTGAAGTATTGTCCCACAGCTCATATAATATTTTTGTTCTCGCCTCTGTAATTCTTTGATTTTGCGTCAATAAAGTTATTTGATAAAATAACGTTTGATATTCAATGAATTTTATTTTTTCAGTTTTGAAGATATTCGAATCACGGTCTGCTTGTTTCTGTATTAAAGAAATCCATCCCAATGCAATTATGGCTGGTTTACAAGATTTTTGAGGGGGAACACCAACAAGTTCTTTGAATAGCAGAGCTTTAAATACGTTAAGCATATGTTCGATTGTTAAATCATGATGAATATTTACAAGATCAACCATAAGTTCTCTAACCAACCGTTGAGAAGCTGGATCTTTATATTTCGTAATCGTAGTTCCAATGACCCTACATATACCTCGGATTATTGATGAATTTATACCTGTAAATAAAAATATTACCAATTTATTTGTAATAATCATTTTAATATTTTAATTCCATAATTTTCTATAAGGTAAGGGGATGTGAGTCGATTGGTCAGGGAAGGCACTTGCTACTTTAAAACGTATATACATATGTTTTGTTTGACAAGGATGCATTGCACAAGTCGATATAGACAATAACTTCGTCTGTCCGTCAGGTATGCAGCACAACGGTTATAAAAAATAAACGATTTGACTTTCCCCACAAAGTTTAAATTGCACACTATTGATTACACAGCCACACAAAAAAAATATTTTTCGGGCCTGGAGGTCAGACCATGTTTACTATATGTTTTCGGGGTCGCTGAATCCGAATCCGAGGTCCAAAAAACCCCAGCACGTCAGGGTTCTGACATAACCTCAAAAAACCTCATACAAAAATATATTCGAGTCCGTGGGTCAGACCATGTTTATTATATGTTTTCAGGGTCGCTGAATCCGAATCTGAGGTCTAAAAAATTCCAGAATGTCAGGGTTACGACATAACATCAAAAAAAACCTGGAGTTTTTTAGACAACGGATTCGGATTCAGCGACCCCAAAAACATATGGTAAACATGGTCTGAGCCCAGAACTCTGAAAATAAAAATTTTATCAAGTTTTTGAGGTTATGTCGTAACCCTGACATTCTGGAGTTTTTTAGACCTCAGATTCGGATTCAGCGACCCTGAAAACATATAATAAACATGGTCTGATCCACGGACTCGAATATAATTTTGTATGAGGTTTTTTGAGGTTATGTCAGAACCCTGACGTGCTGGGGTTTTTTGGACCTCGGATTCGGATTCAGCGACCCCGAAAACATATAGTAAACATGGTCTGACCTCCAGGCCCGAAAAAATATTTTTTTTGTGTGGCTGTGTTATATGCTAATATGCTCGAATAATAATATGTCGAAAAAAATACAAAAATACATTTTTTAGCAGGGTTGGTAAGAACGCTGTAAACCAAGTTCTACACAATATTTTGAGCTTAAAATTTATATTTATACGAGGTGTGTTCAAAAAGTATCTCTAATTTTGTGTTTTTTCAAAAAATATTTATTTATTCATGAATATATATTTTGTCCCCTTCAAAGTAATCCCCATGAGATATTATGCACTTGTGCCAACGGTTTTTCCAATCTTCGAAGCACTTCAAAAAATCATTTTTTTTTAATCTTGTCCAGCTCCTCCTTCGATGCCGTCTTTATCTCGTCAAGCGTAGCGTAACGTCGTCCTTTCATGAGCCTCTTCAGTTTAGGAAAGAAGAAAAAGTTGATTTTGGCCAAAAAGTCGCGCACAAGCAACGATGTGTGAGCATGGGCGTTATCGTGGTGCAAAAGCCAATATTGTTCTTCCGCAAATCTGGGCGTTTTTGGCGGATTGCTTCGCGCAAATTGCGCATAACTTGCAGGTAATATTCCTCATTGACCATTCTTCCCTGTGGCAAGAACTCATGATGCACCACGCCCTATGCATCGAAGAAAACTGTCAGCAAAACTTTCACATTCGACCGAACTTGTCGCGCTTTTTTCGGTCTTGGTTCGTGCGACAGCTTCCATTGAGATGATTGAGCTTTGGTTTCCACGTCGTAACTATAAACCCACGATTGGTCACCAGTTATGACCCTCTGGAGCAAATTTAGGTCGTCGCGGACAGAGTTTAAAAACTCATTAGCAATATTCATGCGCTGCTGTTTTTGGTCGGAATTGAGTAATTTTGGTACGAATTTCGCGGCGACCCGTCTCATGCCCAAATCACTGATAACAAGAAAGAAAGCTAGCTTCGGCAAGCCGAAGCTTATATACCCTTGCAGTCATCAAATATTTCGAACAGAATACACAAAGGTTAAACAACATCGAAGCTATGACGACTTTTCTATTAATTTTCCATATTTTTGACTATTGTTCATATGGCAGCTACATATATGATATAGTCGTCCGATTTTGATGAAATTTTATTTGTTATTCAAGAGTCGTTAGAAAACCAGAGCTCGCAAATAACAGTTGACCGTTTTTCATCTAGTGCTCTGGGTGCGAGCACAACCGAAAAAGTTCATACTGTCTCGCTCTCGCTCTGAGCAAGAGCCCCTTGCTGTCATAATTTGTGTTTTCTGTTGAGCACTTTTCGTTGAGTTTTTTGCATTTCGGTCTTTCAATGAGCAGTGCGTAAGGAGCAGATCGAGAAACGCTCGCACAATGAGAGTCACCAAAAGACCGATTGACCGAAAAACTCAATGCAAACGGTCTTGGCATTTACACACACACGTTCAATTCACGAAGACGATTAATATATTTCGTCCGCAAAACCGATGTTTAACGATTTGCTTGCCTATACGTGCACTGTATACCAATACATATGCAATAGACCTTTTGCTTCACTGAAAACGACAAAACGGTCCTGGAGCAACCAGAACAAAACCGAATAGAAAAAATCGGTTTCGGTCTGAGCGCAACAGAACCCATTTACGAACTCATAAATCGGTCGTTCTCTGAGACTTTTCGTAAAGGGTTAGGAGAATACTGTTATTAGCAGACAACGAGAAACGGTCGACTGTTATTTGCGAGCTCTGTAGAAAACTCTATATTCCAAAAATCATGATTTTCTGAAGAGAAATAACGTTATCATTTTATTTCCGTTAAGGGGGGGGTAAGGTCAAATCATGCGAAAAAAGCCATGTTTTTGTGATTTTTTTCCTGACGACACAGTTAAAATTTATTTATTCAACCAACGGTATATTAAAGTATGACATTAGAAGAATGTTTTATCAAATTTTTACAAAAAAATATTAAAAAATATGGCAATGGTAGCAATTGTCCGGACGTGTCGCCAAAAAAAGTTGAATTGCGGTGCCCCTCATAACTCGGTGCTGGATCATACGAAATCAAAAAATGAAAGTTCATTCGTTAGATAATAGTTCGCCCCAGGTAACGCTGTGAAGGTTTTTTGAAAATTGCAATTTTTTAATTTTTTCGAAGACTTTGAAGTGAAAAACACAATTTTTTGGGAAAAAATCGGTTAATTTGTCATTGCAAAATCAAAATTATGAACAAAAAAAAAAAAAAACTCGACAGCGTTACCTCGTAAAATATGTACAGAAATAGTGTTTAAAATTTCAAAAAGATCGGTGCAGTAGTTTTGTAGTTATGAGGGGCACCGACTTTGAAAATAGCATGTTCGGCAAAATCGATTCAAAGTATTTTTATACGTGAAAATACGCCCAAATACGGTTGTTTAAAACGCTGTAACTCCGTTAGTTTGACTTTAATTGACTCAAAATTTTACACAATGTTCTCGACATATTAATCATTCAGAAAAAAAATAAAAAAAAATATAAAAAAAAAATTTTTAAAACCTTACCTTCCCCTTAATTCTATATAGATTTTTCGATCTTTCCAATGGCAGCTATATGATATAGTTGTCCGATTTTTATGAAATTTTTTTATAAATCAAGGTTAAAATACTTGATACTCAAAAAATCGTAGTCGTGTAATGAAAAACAATGACGTTATTAATTAATTTCCATTAATTCTATATATATTTTTTGATCTCTCCGATGGCAGCTATATGATAGAGTTATCCGATTTTGATAAAATTTAAACCGAAATTTAATAGTTAGAAAACACCATCTGGAAGAAATCAAGTCGATCTAATCAAAAACAACGGAGTGAGAATTTGTATTTCAATCTCTTGTATTGGAGCTGTTCATTATAGTCGCCCGATCCGGCCCGTTCCGACTTATATACTGCGTGCAATAACTACACACCTTTTGGGAAAGTTTCAGCAAGATAGCTTTAAAATAAATATATAAAATATATAAATAAATATAAAAAATTTCATACAAATCGGACAACTATATCATATAGCTGCCATAGGAAAGATCGAAAAATCTATATAGAATTAACGGAAATAAAATGATAAGATCGTTATTTCTTATCAGAAAATCATGATTTTTGGAATATAGAGTTTTCTAACGACTCTTGAATAACAAATAAAATTTCATCAAAATCGGACGACTATATCATATATGTAGCTGCCATATGAACATAAGTCAAAAATATGAAAAATTAATAGAAAAGTCGTCGTTGCTTCGATGTTGTTTAGCCTTTGTGTATTCTGTTCGAAATATTTGATGACTGCAAGGGTATATAAGCTTCGGCTTGCCGAAGCTAACTTCCTTTCTTGTTATTTGTAAAATGGGTAAATAACACTGTGCGACAAAATTTAACGAAATGTTTGTTTAAGTTACTTTTTTGATTGTTTTCGGTTAAGATGCATAAATTATGCACAAAAATATCTATGCCACCTTCTAAGTGATAGGATTTCTTTTTTTATGATAAATTTTATGAAATTATTATTATGAAAATAATTAACACAAAATATTATTATTTTTTTTACTTCCAATAAACTATTATTTTTTTTTAAAGTGAATTTTTTTCCAGATTTTTTTGGCTTTTTCAGAGGTATCCTCGCGTAACAAGTTCCATACAAAGTCGCCCAGAGTATAGAGCTGGGGGAAAAAAATTTTAAAGCATTGTGGTAAAAGCCTAACGGTATATTTGCTTAAGGGGTTATATACCTATTTCAAGCTCAAAAAATCGAAAAAAATTTTATAATTTTTTTTTGATGTACATACTTTCAACAATTTATCTGCAAAATTTTTTAGAGATCGGGGCACTAGAACCTAAGATACATTCGTTCATAGCGCACGGTGTACATGACTACATAATGTCCACCTAAAACTTTAAACGCGATTATCTCGGAATCACATTTTTGAGAAAAGGTCATTGCGGTGAGCATGATATCTCGGTATCCACTACATCGATCGATTTGAAATTTTGGGGGATTGTTTGTATATATAATAGCTAGTTCGTGAACGAAGGAATTTTATTTTCGACAAATTTTTCTATTTTTTTGGGGCAAAAAACTAAATTATTAGACCTCGAAAAATCGGTTTTTTTGAAAAAATAATCACTGTAA